TGTCGTTTGTGAACTGAAAATAATTCCGCACCCAATAATTACACGAATCTATGAATTCGAATTTGTTCTAATTACACGAGGAAGATTGAATGTCAATTAGATTCATTTGACCAGAATGAAGTAAAGGTGAAGAAATGCGTTTAATTTTGGCATCGCATCTGTTTCATCTTTGATTCAGGATTTATTGCTGATAGGTTTCAAGGAATCCTTTGGCGTTTCATGAAGGTTAAAAAAAAGAATGGGAACGCTTTCTGATCTTTGATTTGTAAATAACTGCTAATCAACGACATTCAGTTCTTTGAAAATTTCATTATAATAGAAGAATAGAAGAGTAGAATTTGGTGGGGGTTAGATTTAATTGTATTCTAGGAAATGTCTACGATCAGCCTGCTCGCAATTTGATTGCTGCATTTAGACACATAAGCAAATGTACATGCGCATAGAACATGCATGCATACATAATAAAATATATGTAAATATGATTTATTTCTTTATATTAGCGATTATAATTATATTTTGTTGTCAGGAAATAAAGCAACGTGCAGATAATTATGATTAAAGCTACGAAATGGGGACGTCTTAATTACAGAGGGCAGGGATATTTATTAAGGCTTCTGTAAGTTAATATTCTTGGACTGCGGCGAAAATATTGAATATAATAAATAAGAATAAAAGTATGGCTTTTTAAAAAAAGTTTTGCCATGTGATTATGAAGTGTTATTTGATGAAATATGATAAATAACATGAAATAAAATTAATATTTTCAATAGCAAGACAATACACTTGAAATGAAACAAACCTATTATATAAGCTTTATATTGATCAAGAAATAAAAGACTCTCGTAATATTGTACGCCGACTTGTCTCACTCACTTTCTCTGTTAACGAATGATTCTATCAAGATGATCATATTCTGGAAGAAGGCTATGTTAGTTGAGGCACATATTGAAGACTTGAACTGACTAGACTAATAAAGAACTAGACCTCTTCTCTATTGTTCTATAGGGATGCGATTAAGATATAGCAAACACATTGCTAAGACTGTCAAGAGACAACTTTGGTGCGCTACCCAGTCAAGTTTATGCTCGCCATATCATTTACCTAACGAAACATTACTGAGTCTATTTGACTTACTATACAGCTTAGTTTGCCACAAGTTTCTGTGCATGGCGCCCAGTTTTGTAAACCTAAGACGCCATTCAGAGTAAGGCATTGCTGAGATTGTTGTAAGGATGTAAAGGAAAGAGGAAGAGGGAATACCATGCGGATATGTATGATAAATAACGGTTGAACCCAGAATTGAAGTGGTTATGATTGTAGCGAATGTGGAAGTCTGTTCCACAATGTGACATCTTTGTGGAAGAAGTTGGCTGATTGTAACTTCACCCTTACCAAGGCAATACGAAGGGTATGAGGATACGTTTACGCCATATGTATGGCATGGCTGGTCCTAGATGTTCAAGGCTGAACTGGTAGCACTAAAGAATGTAGATCGATTTAACCTTTACCGTAGAAATAGTGACAGAGTAACGAGACGCAAGCAACGTTTTATCTGTGCGAAAAGGTTTTCCCCACCATCGAGGCCACGTAATCGCTTTTTAGGACGTGAGTGAGGATTAGATAGCTCAAGCTCAGATATGACGAGAATACTTTATTCTCGGTCTGATCTAAAAGTAGCAGTTAGGTACTTTTTGGAGTTAGAAACAAACTTTTTTCACCACGAAATTATCTACAAGAGAAACTTGCTAGCCGTCGGTCTAAGACAGCATCGAAACTCTTATTTCACAGGATAGCAGCCATGTTTACACTGTAAGCTCAAACTTTGATCACGTGACCGCAATAGTACCAAATATAAGCCTCCAGTATGACAAACCTAAATATATGTTATGGCGAAAATGTGGATAAGTTTTACTGACTCTAGGAGGAGGATGAGAAGAAGAAGAAGAAGGAGAAGAAGAAGAAGAAGAAGGAGGAATAGAAAAGAAGAAGAAGAAGAAGAAGAAGGAATAGAAAAGAAGAAGAAGAAGAAAAGAAGAAAAATAAGAAGAAGGAAGAGAAAAGAAGAAGGAGAAGAAGAAGAAGAAAAGAAGAAGAATAAGAAGAAGGAAGAGAAAAGAAGAAGGAGAAGAAGAAGAAGAAAAGAAGAAGAATAAGAAGAAGGAAGAGAAAAGAAGAAGAAGAAGAAGAAAAGAAGAAGAAGAAGAAGGAAGAGAAAAGAAGAAGGAGAAGAAGAAGGAAGAGAAAAAGTAGAAGTAGTAGTAGTAGTAGTAATCAGAAGTATAAATGTGTGAAAATGATTGAGGACTATGAATTGAATAAGCATTTCATATTCAAAACTATACAAAATGCTACAAACACTGAGAAATTGTTCAAGGATATGAGACGAGCAGATGTTTTATGGCTTTCAAGAAAATCTTCGTCATTCTTTTTCAAAATGTACGCAATATAATTATTATAGGCCAAAAGAAAGAAAAAAAAACAACAAATGAGAACTTGTGCGAGAAAGAGAGAGAGAGAGAGAGAGACAGAGTACGAAAGGAAGGTGCAACTCATCAAGAATAGTACAAATAAAAGCATTACCGAATATGCAGCAGACATTAAGACAACAATCACGTAAATATCTGAAAGAAACAACGTTTCCTGGCTTTTTAACCAAAGCAAAAATCAACAGGTCCTCCAAAATGTTAAAGAATTGCATGTAATTTCAGGTCGATAACATACTAGTTTAGGGGGGGATTTTTACGATCACAACTAACAGTAAGATATACAGTCACTGGATTATAAGATGCCATCTGCGATCAAAAAACCCTAACAGAAGATGACACTACATACATCTTCACAGTACAACATATGTGTATTCATTTGAACTTACATCATCGTGAAAATTAAAAATTAAAATAAAGACATATGGGCAAAATTTCGTCAACAAAGTGGAGTGGATCTAATATTGTGGGATATAAATATATGGCGGATGTCATGGACTCATAGAGAGATCTGGGTGGTATTCAGATGACGAATCAGACGCCCATTGATTATTTTAAAAAGCTCATGTGGAGCTATGGTTCAATTAATCTTATCTACGACAATGTTTCTTTGACTTCAAAGAAGAACATTCAAGAATATATGAATAAAATGGATTTCGAAGACAAGTGATTAATTACTGAAGTGGCTGGCTTGTTCGATTACCTTTAACCCGACTGGAAACTTGTAGAAATGTCTGAAAACTTATTTCTAATTTCGCAAGTGGTAATTTACTAGCAATGAAGAACAGTAGATATGATATATCTGGTTATGGGCAGTTTAATTCATATGAAAAAATTACAAAGTATTACAAGGGGATGAACGCTGTCTGAAATTAGATTTAAAATTTCAGGCATACATTCCATATCAATGTGGACTTTTATAACTTTGTATTTTATTGCCGCTACCCTTTTAAAAAATAAATTGTTCAAAATGTTTATATTTGTAAAATTATTGTAATTTTCTAATTATAATAATTAATTTGAACGTAATAGATTTGGATTTACAGTCACACAATAATGCGAAAATTTGGAAATTATGGTAAAATTCATAAAAATCTGTTGGAATTTCTGTGATGATAATTTATCCTTATTTACATTATTTACATTCATACCAATACCCTAATCTTTACCGTTATCACGTTTCGGCTGTTGTGTCCTTCTTCCTTATTCCTGACCTTAACAATGCATCCGTGTAAAATAAATCAAGCATTCAATTCGAAATCCACTGATTGACAGACCCGTGAGAAACCTTTCACAACGACCAAAACGATAACAGCAAAAATATTAGTTCCAATTTGAATAATGAAAATAATTCATGAAAGTCTTGCCATATCGTAAAAGTGATATTTTACGTATAATGTGTGAAACACCGTTAACATTAATATATTCGTTAATATTAATATTGTATATATATATATATATATATATATATATATATATATATATATATATATATATATATATATATATATATAGAAACACGTTATTCAAAAAAAATCGCTTGAAGATGGAACAGAGTTTATTTTAACTCAATTTAATTTAAATAATTATATTGAAGTTTTCGGCTCTTGTTTTTTGAAACATGGGACTTCTTATGTCGCGATTTGGAATCATATTTTTAAATAAATAATTATATATATATATATATATATAATAGTGTAGATATTTCTATGAAAATCTTTTAAAATCAGGAAATGTTGCAAAAAATGTAGTGCAAAGTGTCAGTTACTACTTCCATCTATATATCGGTACTCTCTTTCAGATCTCTCTCTCTCTCTCTCTCTCTCTCTCTTTCTCTGTCTATATCTCTGCCTGCCTATATAACTGTCATTATCTCTCTCTCTCTGTCACTCTCTTTCTCCCTCGCTCTTTATCTCTTTAGCTATCTACTCTATATGTATCTCTGCCTTTGGCTATAAAATGTTTGTCTACCTTTTTGGAAATCTTAAGTCAAAGTCCTTGAAACCAGGCCAACACTATACACGAATAAGACACAACCTCAAAGCAAATAGGGAAATCGGTGAATATCCTTGGAAATTGACAAATTTCATACAAGAAATTACCATATAAGCCGTTGACCTTGATCTGTTTTTAAAGGGAAAGTGATATATGACAAAACCTTGGCACTTTTCCAATCAGCTACATTTAGAAACTCTGATCTCTTAGACACCCTTTCCTGAAGAGAATTATTAAAAAGAGATGTCTTTGATTAATCATCAGGAAAAGTATAAATAAAGACATAAGTGTGCATCTGAGTAAGGTAACACACACACACACACACACACACACACATATAGAGGCATATATAAATGGCTATATATATATATATATATATATATATATATATATCTATATATATCTATATCTATATCTATCTATCTATCTATCTATCTATCTATCTATCTATATATATATATATATATATATATATATATGTATGTATGTATGTATGTATGTAGTTTCAAATTCTTTTAGGATTACGGCCATATCGCTTTGAAACACCAGTTACCGTACGATCGGCGAATTTAAGTTACGTCGATCCTAGTCAGTATCTGGATGGGTAAACACTTGGGAATACCATGTACTGTAAGCGTGGATGTGCAGGTGGTGTAATAGATAATGGCTCGCAATTGCAAATCGGACAGCTGTGTTTTAATTACATTCGCGTTCGTTATGTTCACTAGCGTTTTATTGATTATTTTATTATTTGTTGTTAGTTTGTATCATTACGTACTGTGTTTATGTGTGCATTCGGAGTTTGTTAATTTATTAATTATTTACTTTATTTATTTTTATTTACTTATTTTATTTTTATTTTATTTATTCATTATTTATTTATTTACTTTTATAATTTTCATTTTTAGTTTTCGACTTTTAAGTAATATAGTAAAATTTGTTTTCGTGTCTGTATTTTGTCATGAGTTCTGGGATAGTAATTATAGCTATTTTCTCCTCTGGAGAGAGTTTGCGGTTTTGGGATTTATCATTGAATGTTGATGCTGTTTTCCTTATTTTCCATGATATGTTTGATGTAATTTGTTTTGAATTTCCCATATATGTTTAGAAAGCATTGTTCTGTTTGCGTTTTTACTTTTTTTTAAAGGTGGTTTAATGTATCTAATTTGTTATAGTTACACTGATGTATATTTCTTCTTCGTTATCGGCTGATTTTAAAGTGGATTGGTATATTACATTGTTCTGCAAGCATTGTATATTTTAAGAGGCGTTCATTCTTTGCTCTGAAGAGGGTTTGATTTGTGTGGAAGATTTTTTGGTTGTTTTCCTGTTCTGCTTTTTTATTATTTGTATCATGTTCGCAGTGGAGCTATAACTGACTTTTACTGTTTTTGTTGAATATTTTGTGCAGGGTGCTTGATGGAGTAACTGTTGGAAGAGTTGGATTATTTTACTTATTTTTGTTTTTATGTTTTTGTTGTACTGTGAGTTGAACCATATGATGTTTATTTACCTGTTGGCTTATTTGTGTTATGTTGTGTGTATTTGAGTGTTGCCGAAAAAAAAACAACAACTTTTACGTTTTTTTATAAAATGTTTATGCTTTTGTTAAATGATGTTTTCGCTGCAATTATGAAACATCCCTAAAAGATAGTAGACTTTCGGCAACATTCATATACACTCACATAAAATTGCGACGAAGTAGCTACTAACTATCCACCCCACCCACTAAAAGTTCCAGTAATGCCTTTATTACTGGAAACGACACTGGATTAAGTGTGTGGCTTCAGAAATGGACAACTTCGAATGAGATTAAATGCCAAATTGATATGTGCTGTAGTTTTATTTTATACCACCATTCCTGATCATTTTTGATCAGCATTTATATATATATATATATATATATATATATATATATATATATATATATATATATATATATATATATATATATATTCAAACAGGTTAGGTCAGGTAATTTATAAATATAATGTCGATTAGTTTTTGTTGTGATCCTTTCAAGTTCGTGAATTAATTTTTTGGTAGACTTCTAAAATTGAGTAAGAAAATACCAAAATTTCAAGTAGTTTCAATCTCATCTGAGACCATCATCAGTGGGTTAAGTTGTTTGTGAGTATGTACATGTGTTTCTGTGAACTTAAATCATTTCAACTGTTCGCTTTTTTAATGCTTATGCAGCCTTCTAGATTTCAAAGTTCAAAGTTCACGTGTTCTCTTGGCGTTATTTTTCCAGTATAAGGGAAGTAACATTTTGTTATAACTCTCTCTCACACACACACACACACACACACATATATATATATATATATATATATATATATATATATATATATATATATATTTTTTGCTCATACGTATATATTTTTGTTTTTTTTCTCATGCGCATATAATTTTTTCTAAGCATTCAAGGACTTTGTTGCTATACTCATATTTGACGTTATTTAGTTTGGGCATTAATCCTCGTATATAAAGGGCCTCAAGGATTTTTATTTTTTGCTTGTTATTTTGTTTATGTAATATAGATGTATTTTCAACTAATAGTCGTCTAATCTGTAAGTGTGGGCATAAGGGCTTATATATTGAGCTATCTTCATCCAAATGAAATGTAAGTCTTTTTATTATCATTGTCGTAGTAAAGCCAGTATACGTATTGACATTTTTTCAGAGACACATTCTCCTAAAGGACATTTAATTTGATATAAAATGTTGGCCTTTTGCAAGATGCTAGTTAACAGAGAAGAGTTATTTTGAATAACTAAGTTGGTTGTATTAAATTTAATATACTATATAAATAATTTTGTTTTTTCTTGGATCAGTGTGAGATATATTAGTGTTTATGAGTTTCTTAGAATTTTTTCCTCTTATTTATAGTTGGAATGCATTTGATTACTATATAGTAATTTGTTATGTTTAGAGTTATTTGATGATGAATTGTATTCACTTTATTTATGTTAATATTTCTAATAAGTCTAACTAAAATTAACCCTCCAACATGAAAGGATCACAACGAAAATTAATCGACATGATATATTTGAATCAAAATACATATATATATAATTAATAATTATATATATATGTTTGAATCAGACTACATGTATATATATAATTAATAATACACACACACACACACACACACACACACACACATATATATATATATATATATATATATATATATATATATATATATATATATATAAGTTTCGTTAAAAATGACTGACAAAGTGCTTTTGTTAAGTTTTTTATATAATTTTCTATGCGTTCTTATAATTTTTTCTCTTCAGGATATAAATGATATAAAAATGTCCAGATGTTCTATATATTTTGGAAAGTAAAATTTTTTTATAATTCTAAATACATATATAAAAAGCAATCCACATATTCAGTTAAAAATAAAATTCATCCTTGATAATTGCTAAAGCTATAACCGAAAGCGCTTGAATATATAAAACATTTGGACAATTTTTAAATTATTTGCATCCTGAAAGGAAAACAAAAACACATGAAAAATTATTGGGTTGTCCGAAAAATTCATGCCGATTTTTAAGGGAAATTAAAATACAAAACAAAATTATGCCATTAAATATTTATTCCACTAAATCTGAAGCATTTTGTCACACAAATTTTTCACATTTTTTCCTTAGGCGTAAAGATTACGTCTTCTCAGAAATCTGGTGATTTCTCAACAAAGAACATATTAAGATGTTTTTGTTTTTATGTAATCCAAAGTATTAAAATTTTTTGCTCTGAGATTATTTTGCAAGTACCTGAATAAATTTGCATCAAAATGGTGCTGTTTAATTGCAGCAAATTACAGAGAAAATTCGATCCAAAAGATTCCTTTCATTCAGACTATGTGGTACCCAAACATCATAGAGATTTGAGTACCCAATCTTTATTAATTACTCAGGATGATGGATTTAGATAAATTTAGTGTTTCTGCCAATTCCCACGTTGTGTAATGCGGGTTATTCTCAATCACTATCTTGATCTGTTCGTCATTTAGTGAGGGGTCTGCCTGAACGTTCTTCATCAATAAGGTTACAACTACCAACTCTAAACTTAACGAAAGACTTCCGTTCACTTATGTCAACTGAAACACCTTTACCTTACACAACACATACCTTTTTGCTGCTTGCGAAGCACTTTGGCCTTTATGGTAATTAAAGCATCAAGTGTCTAAAATTTCTTATAATCTTTCATTCTTTTTGATAGGGATGCAAACACGACATGAATTAAGTAATTTTAAAATTTCTTTCTAGTTTGAAGTGTATTCTAATCGTAAATGTAAGCATATGATATATGTCGATAAATTTGGCGTGTTCTAACGTGTTTTAACATGAACAACTAAAATCGGCATGAACTTTAAAATTATATATATATATATATATATATATATATATATATATATATATATATATATATTATCCAATAAAAGTGTCAATAGAGAGGTAAGAAGTGCAGCATAGAGAATATTTAGCATAAACAACGTTTGACACATAACTTAATATTGAAGTGATCGGGGAAGTATTCAAGTTCAAGAGAATTCATATATTCATTATATATATATATATATATATATATATATATATACATATATATATATATATATATATATATATATATATATATATATATATATATATATATATATATATATATATATATATATATATATATATATATATATATATATATATATATATATATATATATATATATATATATATATATATATATATATATATATATATATATATATATATATATATATATATATATATATATATATATATATATATATATTAAAAAACTAAAAAAACTAGGTTATATTCTATATCATTTAATCCGATAAAACATGGCTTCTAATCCTCAAAGCTGTAAACCAAGTGAAAATAGAAAAATTAACTTTAGATTTAAAAATTAAGAATAGTGCTTTCATATAGGGAGTGGGGGAAAGAAAGATATTAAGTTATCATCGTGTAGGAAGGGGAAAAATGAAAACTCTCTCAGTTGTATTAACACACGTGGTGACCTAAAATGACACCCGGATTGTAGACAAAAACCGTTATATTAAATTGGCACTTAGGAATACATTTGAAAAGAAATTTAATATAGATTCAAAAGTCTGTCTGGATCCCTCTACTGTTAACATGTGTATTCAACTTAAAACTCCTGTTATAATTTATATTAAAAATAGTGGTAGAATAGGAATATTATATATATATATATATATATATATATATATATATATATATATATATATATATATATATATATATAATCATACAAATATATATATATATATATATATAATCATGCAAATAGCGTAGTCTCAAACTGTTCATTCTCGAAACGAATCACGTTACTAACAAGTTTTTCTATCTTGTCTTTCATTTACCCACTACACACACAAACACATTCATGCACACATACACACACACGTATATATACAAGCATATGTGTATATATCCATATAGATAGATAGCATATATTTAACTCATATGATTTCGTATATATGATTTATAGATATATTAATTTACATGTTTAAGTCTGTGTATATACATGCTATATTTTTTCCTAACTTCCTGTTACTTTGTCTTCAAAACGCTTG